ACGGACATACATATATTACCGTACATATAATACAATATCACACGAGGGGATTGAGCTTCAGAAAACGATCTAACAGCGGATACATAGGACTCTCGAACCCCTCGACAGACGAAAGTCCCAACCCGTTTCCCGAATTACCATCTCTAGAGGTAGATTCGTTCCGGCTGCCCAAGTAGATGACGGTAGAGTGAGAGAACTTTGAGAGCCAACAGGGCCGTTAGTACGATTAGTGCCCTTAATAGGCACCATAGGAGCATTTGAAGATTGTGTAGAAAAACTAGAAGCGGCCCCATTAGACGAATTCACAAATCGCCGATGTTTATTCAACGGACAATTACGTCGTAGATGACCTGGACGACCACACTTGAAACAAACATAACCAGCTTGAGTAGAACCCTGACCCTGACGGTTTACTGACCTATTCGGAGAACCACCATTTCCCTGCACGCGAGTAGTAGCGCCCGCCACCACAAGCGAGTGGGCCTTTAAAGAAGAGGATGTCGTCTGAGTATGAATCAGAGTACGAGCTCTTAGAATAGACTTGTCAAGATCGAGAATACCATCGGGAGCAGCTGCTAAACGTACTTGTGCAGCAACCTCAGTAGGTAGACCCCGTACAAACTGCTCAGCGATAATATTAGGGCAAGCTGATGGATCAGTATCAGATAGAGTTAGGTAACGTTTCAAGTCAGAAACATAATTATCAATAGATTCACCTTGAACAAAACGTCTACTCTGAAATGCTATAAAGGCATCAGCTGGGGTCGGAGAGAAGGCAGCGGTCAACTTCTTAATAAGGCAATTAATATCAGACTTGTCCGACTTGGGCAGCTGATCATAGACGACCATGCTGCATCTTCCAGGAACAAGGGCAAATACTGAGTCCGTTGTTCCTCCGACCAACCTTGGATCTTAGCCGCCAGACAACACTTCTGATACCACCGTTCAAAACTCTCAGTAGCTGTGTTACCATGAAACTTCTTGATTACTTGATCCAATTTCAGAGACATCTTGTTGATAGGGGTCTGGGCACCAGAATGTACTAGAACCCAACCACTCTTCTCGTTGTAGGAGAGAGTAAAGGAGTAAAAACTAGTATGAATACAATTGTTGGGAATAGGGAATCACTACTCAGCTTAGCTTCAGCTTATCGATATCTTGTCGTCACGACACAGCGCACAATCCTATATCATTCTCTCACAGGCGTTTCTTCTGTTGATGAGGGCATTCTCAATGAGAATTTCTCATAAGGCAGATTATGCGGGAAGGTTTGGTAAAAGGAGCAGAAGGCGAACAACGGTATCGGCTACACGAAGTATCAATCGACGATCCATAGGGATTCCGCAAAGATCCGTCGAAAAATTCAAGTCTACGTCTCCGTACTGCGTGAATGTCGTAGATCTAGACTCTCTATTATCCATCTCAACATCAAGCCTTGAAGATAGAGACATATTATTAGTAATAATAATACGAGTGGGAGTTGATAGGCTGAAAACAATATTATCACAAACAGTACATTGAACACCTCATCATCACTTGTATCATTATATTAGCATAGCACAGTGGCTAGCGTAGACTTTAGCACAGCTTGTAGGATATTGTGCAATAGGGACGATTGTGGAGGGTCATGAGTAGAGGAGAACAATGTCCTAGTCATTAGTACCCCACTCGTCACATGAATCGAAACAACATGTTGCAAGTTTCGTGGAGAAGCAAGGTCCGATATGCGTTGCAGGATGAACGTAGATGGATGATTCCGACTGATAGACTATCAGTGATAGTGCAGGGATCCATGACTGTTCGTGTGGTCAAGTTGGACGACTGGTTGATACAGACCGCGAGTCACAACATTGTTGCGGCTGCAACCGTCTTCCCGTCCTAGTCGGTGGCAGAAGAAGGGGCATCAGCATACGAGCACACGCCGGACAATCGTCCCCTTTAGCTGATCGCGTAATGTATCTTGCTCGTGGGTGCTTGATGAGCATCGCTCGTCTTCCCTAGGTTGAGATCAGCTAATCTGCCCCCCAAGATGTGACAGTTCAACTCGGATACATATTTTAGACTGAGAGACGTAGTTCGTCATGGATTCGCAACAGGCCCCCGGCCCCCGTTCATGGTCTCACGTGACATCGCGAGAAGAACTGTCCTGATTAAATCAGGTTGATTCGATCAGGCGGGAGGAAGACGTTCCTATCCGGCGGTCCCTTAGGGAGATGGACAAGCGAGAAAGATCTCTCAGGCACCCAGCACCAGGGGTGCTGAGGTGCTGCACCACAGTGACACAACGGTGACTTGGTGAGAAGATTACGGCGCGGGAGACACTGCACCCAACAATTACTACTGGGTTGGTATGCTAACGCAACGATAAGAGTCATATCATATGACGGCATCGTCTTGCTAATGCATATATGCAATGCAGTTCAACTTCTTGTTACAAGTTTGTGCTAGTTCGCGCAATTTTGACCATTCACCCCTGGTTTGTGATAGACACGCTGTCCGACGTAGCCTGTTCCGCACGCACACACATAGCTGTTCCGCAGCGACATACCTTGGACTTCCCCTCTACAAAGTAAGTGTAACGCTCAACACTTCTGGACCCGACAAGGTCGACATTATGAAGTTGCTGATCTCTCAGAGATTGGATTGCTGCTGTGCTGTTCAATTAGTAATTACTATTTGTATTAATACGCAGTACTGTACTATTAATTGATGGCTCATCGATGATTGATGTACCCTGTTGTGTTACTCTTCTCGATACGATGGTATCCGTATCACA